ATTATTATTATATTATGAATGAGTATCGGAACCACACATCTTATGTAGCTGTGATTTTGCTTTCGAACAAGTAAAGATTAAAAATATTTATAGCAACTAATGGTATTTTGTTATTTCATCGATATATAATGCTTATTTCCTATCGAAATAGTAGAAGTAGTCTCAGATTTATTGAGGTTGTTAATTAGAAGTTAACAAGATTTTTAATTAGAAAACAATCACGGAATATCACTGTTTTTTTAAACGCTCACGATAGAATAGTTCATAGTGGAAAATCACCAATAAATGAAATGTAAGATCATTTCATAATTTATCTTTCAACGTTTTATTTAATAATTTAGACCTTCGATTTGTCGAGAAAGAAAGAAAGAAATCGTGGAGAAAGCAATAATCGTGTCAAGATAATTGAGAATAAAAATAAGTAAAGGTAAATAGAAATAATATATTTAAATTATAAATAGAATACTCTTGAACGATGGATAGAAAAAAAGCATGGAGAATTTTTAGAAAATTTTCATTAATTAGCAGTTAGTTTAATTGTGGAGTGAAAATGTTTAAACGTTATTTTATCTCCTTCACTCCTGTAATCGCTTGAAAATTTTAATTACACATATTGCTTTGATTAAATTGTTATTTAAAGACTATTTATATGATACTCACCATTTTATTATATTTGATAATAGACTTTTCCTATCATACGTGCGAATATCAGTCAAAGCAAACATGATCATTTTGCACATAAATATTCGAAGGCGACAAAACTCTTAATTATCGATTATACGTCAAAAAAATTGCGTAATGATGTTATAATTATCGAAAGTTTTGCGTAACGATGTTAAATTGGTTATTCTTCTTGTTTTCGTGTAATATTTTATCGGTTGGTTTATCGTTTAGTTTACTAAATATGTCTAATGAATAACATCGATTCAGCACTTGTAATTAAAACTTGCTTTACGATATTTCTTATATCATCAATATACAATGTTTATTATTATCGAACGTTATAGGCTATATCAATCAGGATTGAAAAATTGTATTTCGCGAGATTAAAAGAAACAAACATAATTTTATATAAGATAATTCCTTTGAATGTATTACATTTGTAAAATTTTATTATTGCAAGATGTACTTGTGTGGAAATATTTATTGATCATATTAATTTCGCAATAACGTGTTATTTAAGCGCGTAGGTTTTTCATAGATTCGAACGATTGATAATAATAATTGAATCGGATATTAATAAAAATTGAATCCAGTTTATGAAAATTAATTCAGATTAAATATTAAATTATCTAAATTAGAATGAATGAACAACATGTAATTATTTTTACTTCAAACGATAATTCAATCTTTATTGAATCCTATAAATAAATTCAGCGGAACTGTTACAAAAATTAATAAAACACGTTCTGAATATCGCCCAGTTATAGACAAAGAAAAATAGTGAAAAAAGGATAGAGATAGGAAAAAAATACGGGAATCAGTGCCATCTCTAGAGTGCCGCAAATGAAACAGGTATAGAAAGGATAGAAAATATAGAGAGAAAGATAGATATAGAATAAGAATTGATGCTCAACGCTATCTTTCGGACATCAAAAACATTATTTTGAACATAGGATAAAACAGAGTACGAATTGATCATCTCTTGAATGTTAAAACATTCAATATATATATTAAAAAGATGGCGCAAACATGCAGTTCTTACACTAACTTATCTTGCTTTCATAAAAATATTTTTGACATTTAAGAAATG